TTAAAAAGGTTTAAGGACTGTAAGAGTTGTCTGACAACAACACTTCTGTGTTCTGATACCATGGAAAATGAATGTTGGACTGTAGATGAAATTGATCTCAAATTTTCATGAACATGGCATGGCAATTAGCATTTTTCGTTCAATCTTTACAGAAACATATATTCATTCCTTTTGCTGCCATAGTATGGTATGTCAGAACATAATGTCAGAACTTCAAAGGTGTTTTTGCTTTTTCACACTTCACAATCAGGCTCCTTAAAATCTATTCCCCAGGCAAGAAGGAGGGCAACAATCTCCTCCAGTGTCTCACTTACAATATAACTTGGAGGAATTTAGAAACAACAGGATTATTTTGCACTTTCCCCCTCCTTCTTAATAGCCTATCATCAAAAATGAGAGGAATCCCTGGTCAAACCTCAAGACTTCTACAGACATCCAAAGAACTGGAGGAAAGACCGAGTTGGTGATTAATGCAATCAGAAACCAGCTACTATGCTGGAACCCCTGGTCTGAATTTCTTCATGTTATAGCTGTCCTCACAAAATCAAAGCATCACTGTGTATGGAAAAATCTAACACTAAATTGTAGTTCAGTTTTCCTAGTTGTTTCTTGTTTTCTCTTAACAGTACATACAGTAGGTGTACTCTTTCTGGAACATATTCACTCTTGATTTGATTTGTCTTTTCCTTTAGAGCACACAAAAGTTCTGATCTGTGCTTTCATTGAAATAATTAGACTTCATCTTCTACAGAAGGAATTTACCTTTTGCACTGTAGCATAAATTCAGACAGCCTCATAAAGACTATCTTCCCTGTTTATGCAATTAATTGAAATTCAGAGTGCCATGGGTAAGTAGTTATAAATAGCAAAGCAATCAGAGCAGCTGGGCATAAAAACACATTCGGAGGCAAGTGAGACTTCTCTCTGCGAATGCTGAAGAACCTTTTTTTAATGCCCAAAGGATTACATCACATTATTCAGGCACTGATATAGAAGTCTTCTGCATTTGGAGGAACATAGAAATCTATAAATAGAATATAACCCTGTATGCATATTGAGTAAATGCCAGGGATAGATGACTTCACTAGCAATTGTAATTATTGTCAGGTGGGATTAGGCCAAAAATTAAATAACAACAGCGATGCAGTCCTACTGCATGCCGATATAGCAATTTAAAACTCTGTAGAGGATGTGAAGGGGGATAAAACAGGTATTTGCTTTTGTAAAAATATTAAAAATAGAATGCTGCACCCTTGATGAGGAAGCATGGTGAACTGAATGAGGTAAATTAGATTTGGGCACCTCTCAGAGGCAGGCTGGACTGGAGTTCTGTCTTTGACTATATAGCTCTCCCTTATCTGCTGAAACTGCAGGTAGGCACACCAGGATAATAACTATACTGGAGTTAACAGTAGCCGTAGCCACCATAACATAATTTCTCTCCTCCATGATTAAGAATATCTTGCAGGAGAGAGTGCTGATGGGAGATTTAACTATAGCCCTTATCCAAATCATCACCTTGCTGCTGCTTTTAACCAAGGTGGGAGAGAAATACATATAATGTAATTTTCTTCAACCCAGGGTTATACTAGTAGAAAACCATGAACAGGCCTTGCTGCCAAAGACCTAGGAATGCTAAATACGCTGTTGGCAATTTGAGAGACAATTAAATGCTCTGGCTATGAAGGTATGCCTCATGATGTAAATTGGAATCTCTCTCTGCCTCTAATCTAGACTAGTCCAAGATATTTTGTAGCCGGAGACAAAGGACAAGATGGCATGGTTGTCATTCTGTGACCAGAAGGAAGCTGAAGTTGTAGATGAATTATGCTTCAGTGCTGGTGATAGGGCTGCATTGGTTGTTGCACCTGGCTAGAGCAGGGCTGTCCAAATAAGTGGAGTTAGATCCACAAGAAGAGTGTCTAGGATACTATCACTGCTGCCCACCCAGTATCTGCCAGCTGATGTGTTTGCTTCACACTACATAATGGCTGGAATAGTACCTCATCTGTTAAATATACATATGCTTGAATAATAATAATAAATGTTTTATTATGGTCACTGACCAGCAAAAATATGCTTGAAATATCAGACGTTAGAAACAAATGTTTGTAATAGCCTCTTCTTCAGAATCTGAGAATCCATCAATTTTATGTTCAAATGTGGCTTTAGCTGTGGATTTTGTATATAGCCTTAAAACATTCCTTTCCAGCTTGAAATTTTGTTCTCTGTGTTTTGAAGTGGATAAAGGATAAATTAGGATAAATTTTGTCTGTCCTCTTGTCATGGTTGGATCACCACCTAATAAAATGTAACGTCTCTGTGGCCCTCCCACCTCACAGGGAGAAAGGATCTATTGTAATGGTGCACCCTCAAAGGTTACTGGATCCTATAGGATTCCAGGATACCATGAGAGGGATTCTGGCTGATCTGGCTGGTGCTCCTGTCGAAGCTCTGGTGGACGGTTGGGTTACGGCCACCACTAGGGCTGTCGACACGATTGCTCCTAAATGCCCTATCCAATGCAGAGCTCGCCCAGCATCCTGGTTTAACCAGGAACTTCGAGTGATGAAGCAAACTAGGAGAAGGTAGTAAGCAAGTGGAGAAAGAAACCAATGGATTATAACAGAGAAGCTGTCAGGGTTGTGACTAACTATTATCTGGCCAAGATAAGGGCTGCTAGTCAAGCTCACATCACTGACCAGATAAGCAAGGCTTCAAATCAGCAGGCAGAAATTTTCCGTATAGTTTGCGACCTATCTGGAATTGGTCAGGGTGAAGGGCCTCCTTCTAGTATCTCACCTGACCAATTTGCAGCATTTTAAAAATCTAAAGTGGAGGCCATCCGCTAGGAGCTTTCTCCTTTTTTGGCGACAGTGGATCGAGCAGAGATTTTCAGCGCTCCCCCTTGCCTGGTGAGTTTTGACCATTTTCAGCCTGTGATGCCAGACATTGTGGACAAGGCGCTAGTTCGCTTCGGGCCACCACTTCATCTCTTGACCCTTGCCCAGCCTGGCTAATCAAAGCAGCCAGGCCCACAACAACTGAATGGGCCATAGCGATAATTAATGGGTCTTTCTGGGAGGGCAGGGTTTTCCCCACCCTCAAGGAGACACTCATTAGGCCCATTAGAAAGAAACTCAATCTGGTGGCGGACGATATTGGCAATTATAGGCCTGTCACCAATGTTTCTTTCATTAGCAAAGTGGTTGAGAGGGTGGTGGCCGATCAGCTTCAGGCGCACTTGGATGAAACAAATGCCCTGGATCCCTTCCAGTAAGGCTTCAGGCCACACCATGGTACAGAAAAGGCATTGGTTGCTCTGTATGATGACCTATTGAGGGAGGCTGACAGGGGTAAAACTTCTCTGTTTGTCTTCCTCGATATCTCAGCCGCCTTTGATACCGTCGACCACGGTATCCTCCTGAGGAGGATCTCCGGGTTGGGAATTGGTGGCCTGGCATTGGCCTGGCTCCGATCCTTCCTGGGGGATCATCCTCAGAGAGTTTAGCTTTGGGAGAGCGAGTCGGCCCCATGGAGCCTCAATTGTGGAGTGCCACAGGGCTCGACTATCTCCCCAATGCTCTTTAACATCTATATGAGGCTGCTGGGTGAGGTCATCAGGGGGTGTGGAGCAGTGTGCCATCAATATGCTGATGACACCCAGCTCTACATCTCCTTTTTTCCAACTACAGTGGGTGCTGTTCTGTCCCTGCAGCGCTGTTTGGGGTCTGTACAGCAATGGATGCAGGAAAACAGGCTGAGGCTGAACCCAGACAAGACGGAGGTCCTGAAGGTGGGCAGACCTACCATCAGCAGTTTGGGAAACTCCCTCTCTTTTTTTTGGGGGGGTGACTCTCACCATGAAGAGTGAGGTGCGCAGCTTGGGGATCCATCTGGACCAGGTGCTTTTCATGGAATCCCAGGTGGCGTCCATGGGCCACACCACCTATTTCCAGCTTTGGTGGATTGCCCAGCTGCGTCCCTATCTAGATGTTGGGTCGCTCACCACTCTGGTCCATGCGCTCGTAATCTCGAGATTAGACCACTGTAATGCTCTCTATGTGGAGCTACCTTTGAGATCAATGTGGAAACTACAATTGGTTCATAATGTGGCAGCCAGACTTCTTAGTGGGGTGAGGAACCATCAACATATCACTCCCACTCTGGCCGCCTTACATTGGCTGCCCGTTTGGTTCCACCTTGATTTCAAAGCTCTAATGCTTACATATACAGCCTCTATATCTGATGGAACACCTTCTCCCACCTAAATTTACTCGATATCGAGGTTTAGGGCCTCGATATCTGATGGAATGCCTTCTCCCACCTACATCTACTCATATCACTCGATCTAGCCAGGAGGTGAGGTTGATGAGCCTAACGCTGAGGGAGGCCCGGAAGGAAAAAACAAGAAACCAGGCCTTCTCAGGAGTGGCTCCTTGCCTTTGGAATAATTTCCCTTCTGAGATCCTTATGGCCCCTTCGCTGGGCATTTTCAAAGACCAATTGAAAACCTGGTTGTTTAGGCAAGCCTTCCCTCCAGCCATTACTTGATTTACTTTTTTCTTCCATCTTGAGTACTGTCTATTGATGTGTTACCTTGTTCTTATATTTTAAATTGTTTATATTATATGTTGTTAGCTGCCCAGAGTAGTCAACCGACTAGATGGGCAGGGTATAAATTCAGTTAATTAATTAAAGGGGGGAAAAATCCAAATCTCTGGCCTAAATCTGATCGTGATTTTCAACTGGAGTAGATCCACTGGATCAGTGGGACGTACATATGTGTTGATTTGCCATTTAGCAATTGATTGAATGGATCTCTTCTACTTGGGACTAGCAATTGGATTTAAGCCTCTGCTTAATCAAGCAGTGTTTGTAAATTGTATTGCTGAGATGCCTAAATTTATGGAGAACAATGAAAGTCAGTTTTTCCTATCTCTCCGCCATGCCGCAGCTTTGAGTGTTGCAATGATTTGTTTTGTTGTTTCCATCCCCAGCCTCAGAGCCCAACCTGAAGGTTCGCTCCAGGTTAAAGCAAAAAGTAACAGAAAGAAGAAGTAGCCCTTTGCTCAGAAGGAAGGATGGGACTGTTGTGTGTTCATTCAAGAAAAGACTGTTTGAGGTGACAGGTAATGAAGGACTTGGAGTGGAGAGGTTTGGGAGAATGTAATTTTAATTGGCAGCCTGCTTTCGGAACCATTAATTTAAGAAAATGAAATCAGATTATACAAGTAATTTAGAAAAGTCTGCACAAAACACGTGTGACTTTTCCATACAATACAAGACAGCTTTCTGGTTATTCAGTTCCTGTGAAATAAATGTAAATTCATATGCTTGTACAATTTGGCACTAAATTAGATTGTGGAAGGAAATGTACTTATTATTAGGATAATTGCCCATAATCTTTCAGTGAGGTTCACCACTGCAATTTTTTCAGGCTGAGTGTTCTTTTCTAAAGATCATCTTTCAGTGTTAACTGAAATGTGTGAAGTCTTAGACAGATGGACAAAATAAACAGTGGTTGTCTTTGTTCATTACACATCTGGAAAAATTAACACTACCTGAAGATATGTTGCCCAGTCTGTTGATTTTGATAAGGGAGACTGGAAATTTTGAAATGGTTTAACCTATGGCAAGTTTTGAACATTTTAGGTCAGGTTCTTTTTAATGCTGCTCTTCATATTCTTTGTATTAAAATGCTAAGGGTGGCAATTTTGTGGTATGAAAAATATGTACCTGTGTAAACAATCAGTATTCGTATTTCCAAGAAGTGTCTACTAATACTTCTACAAGTTTTTGGCTTTTAGGGAGGGAAAATTTTTCTATTTTCTAAAGAGGAAAATTATGGGAAAATTGCAGGGAGATAAATATCTAACAGTATGTACAATTTTAGAACAGTTAAAATTTATGTGTGACTTTTGTTCAGATTGAATTAACTATGAAGAAAATTTAGTAGTGAAGTGTACCCTTCTGTGGGCTTGATCCAGACACATGCCTACTTAGAACAGAGTCATTGCAGTCAATAGCCATTAAGTTTAAGTGAAGACTCAATAGATGCCAGTGGTCTACCCTAAGTGTGACTAAATCTGCATTAAAGTCTTCATTGATTAGATAGATACCTTTCATCACTCACTCTCTCTCTGTCTTCGTGTGTGTGTGTATTTGTGTGTGTGTGTGTGTGTGAGAGAGAGAGAGAGAGAGAAAGGTATAGGTGGGTATAATGTGTGTGTGTGTGTGTGTGTGAAAGAGAAAGGTATAGGTGGGTATAATGGTAACTTGTCATATATATGAACAGATTTACTTAGCCGTCTAAAGTGGTCATATCGACCAGATAGGTGGGATGTAACTAAAATAAATAAATAAATACGTGAATTATTTATTTACTTCAGTTCCTGTACATATCCACGGGGTTTAATACTTGTAACAACTATTTAAAACAGAATACAATATTTTTGTTTTTTTAATTTAAAAAAAAAAACTAAAACTGAAACTATATAAAACCTGCCTTGCAATTTTTCCTTCCCTACCTGCCTATGACTGTTGGAAATCTCTAAGAAGAAATAAGGGCACCCTCTCAGAAATATTAACATTTTGCCAGATATACGTAGCAAAATTTAATAGCGGAATAAAATCATTCCTGCTCAGTTCCCCCAGTGATGCCACATGCTAGCACAAGGTTCAGAGCACTAAGAAATTGATTTCTTGTTTTGCACAAAGGAGGAATCTAGCACAGCTTTCCTTTGTGTACCAGTTGTGCAAGAGGTAGCATATATATGTGCTGTCATTTGCACTGCTGTTCATACAGCAATCTGATTCAGTGAAACTATTGCCCCCCCCCCCCCCGCTGCCACTAGCATAATGCTGAGTTTAAGTCTCTGCCCTGACAAACCATTTGGCTTGGTAATTTCATATGTTGGCTATGATTTGAAAGTATTATTAATGGCTGAAATCTTGTTGCTTAGCATAATAAGCTGTAACTAGAATAGGCCCATTGAACCAATGGAGTGTACAGAGGATTTGATCCACCAAATCCCCACTGATTCCATTGGTCTTCTTTAATGTGACCTGCTGTTATAAGTAACAAGATTTCAGCCACATTCCTTCATAGCTTACAACATCTAATGTAGCAGAAAGCTATGAATGCTCAACACCTAAGAACAAAGAATTGAAAAATATAGTTGTGTGTTTACTTGTTTTCAGTAGTTTGCATTAAAAATAATGGTAAAATAGCGTCCTCCCCCTTCCCCCCGGTTGACCCCATGACTCTAGGTCTTGCAAGCATCTCTCCCTTGTCTCCATTAAGAGCTTTCACTGGTATCCATCCTTCAACGGTTATTCCATATTGGACTAATCGCTGTGAAAGCTTCTCTTTACCCTTAGTAAAAGAGGTAGAATGTTCTGCAACAAAACAATTCAGATGTAACCACTGATATGCTGTTAGATTTTTGAACCTCAAACATTCCTTCAGACTCTGCTGAGGAAGATGCAGTGCGAATGAGGTATCATCTTTTATTAGTTACTCACATAAAGGCCAGTTCACAACTGAGTCCTCCAGGGGTTTATCCAAACAGCCTAGGAATGGCAGCAGGCCTCATGAATTGATGACATGTTATCTTGACCTTTGGGAGTCTAGCGTCTCTGTCATGCTGATCTCTCACAGAGGCACAGAGAATGCAGCCAAAGGTACTTCCTTTTCCTTTACTCATTAGGAATTCCCTTTCAGTATCTTGCATGTCACTGAGAAACTCGCAATCTTTTAAGGGGAAAAATAATGCCCAAGTAGTAAACAATGTTCTTTGTGTGTTGGATGTTTCATGGAGGGCCGAATCAAATCTTAAAATACATAAAAGGATGCATTCTGTGCACGTGTCACTTGTCGTGTGCTATTTCTGAAGCTGACATTTTCTGTTCTCTCTGTGTGCTTATTTTTATTTTGCCACTGCCAGAATCATCTGTCAGCAGCAGTTCTCCAGGATCAGGTCCCAGTTCGCCCAGCAATGGTCCCAGTGGTCCTACTGGAAATACAGAGAATGAAACCTCAGTGTTGTCATCAAATTCCCAAACTGAGGTAGGAACAAAGACTCTTCATTTTCCTGTAAATTATTTCATTAGAATGCCTGACACCAGATTTTAAAGGTTCCTCAGAATGACACCTTTTTTGTACACCTACGGTGGAGCAGGAAGGTAGCCTGTCCTGCCTTGTCCTATTTCACCTCTGTTCTCCTTTGTGGGCCACCTTATCAGCAGATGGCTATGGTAATCCTCAAGTGTATGCTGAGCAGTACACTTAGTCATTTTCTTCAATGCCTTGGAGAAGCGGTTCTCAAATCCAGGTCTCTGGATATTGGCCAAAATCCTGTTGTGCAATATTGCAAGAGACATAACTTTTAGTGTTAAGTTGCCTCAAGTTAATACATCTCTGCAAGCATTATCTGTTGCACCCTGAGTTACACAAGTCAGTATGCAACAATAATGCCTGCAGAGAGTTCTTAACTTACAGCAACTTGCGGCTAAAAGTTACTCCCTTTGCTACAGGGATTTTGGTCATTGTTGGTCTTCAAATCCCAAAGGCCTTATCCAGCATCAGCAGTGGATAGGGATTCTGGCAGTTGTGGCTCAACAATATCTAGGAAACCAGGATTGCAAACCATGGAACACAGTACCAGGCTGTGGCATTGTGGGAGATTACAGTGGCTGCTGCCCAGTGCTCGTGCAGGTGCTAGAAAGCAAAGCTGAGGACAGCAGCAGGCCTCTTTCAGCTGTCGCTGTTAATTGTCTCAAGCTTCCTTGAGTACCTTTTCCAGGAAAGTAAGTGTGGTATAAATGCAAAAACCAAAATCTGACATGTTGACCTACTTACACAGACTTTTAGAAACTATGCTGATGCTTCCTTTTATTTCTTTCAGAGTAAATAGCCTTTTTTTCCCTCTCATGCAGCAGGCTTCCTAACAGCTTAAATACATTAAAATACACAGTGACATCAAGGGTAGGCTTATACTCTTGCTTTCCATAGGATTACATTTAATTGGCTTGCATCAGAATGTTCACTTCCTTTACCTCTTGAAGAAATATGGGGATTTTACAAGTAGGGCCACTTCTAAGGCAAACTGTCTCTATGGCAAGGGAAGAGGAGGAAAGATTATTTCCCTTATCTTAAATATCTCAAAGATATAATGATGTTTTCAACTGCTTACAATGGAAGATTTTAATGATATACCTCCCACACACATACCAGTGAAAATTTGCACTGGTGTGCACACACATTTTTTGAATTATAAAAGCAGAAGGCAGGGAATGAGGCTGTTGGTGGGAGGAACTTCTATGGACAGTCTCAAAATATAGCACGAACATGGAGGATTTGCTAATTTATCAAAAGCATATTGAAAATCTCCATGATCAATATACAGAGTTTTCACTAATCTCCATTCATCTACAGATCCCATGCCATTTTTACCCATTATTGGATCAAAGTAACATGGTCATATTGAACTATGGGGAGAGAGAAAGTGCAAGGAAAGGATGCAGATGCAGGATGGTATCTAGAAGGGAGTCATAGGGGGCATTGCTCATTTATTTCTGTAGTTTATGCTTTGCAGCTCTACCCACTGGCATATTCTTGCTCCATCTCTTCCACTGTCTTGATCATCTAGCTTTGCATTTTAAAGCAGCCAGATACAAACCCAGAATAAAGTTATATGTGAATATTGACTTAGGAAAGATAAATCTGTGAATGTGGGACTAAAGACTAATTCATAGAATACTGAGAAAATCTTGAGTTTGTTGAAAAACGGTGATTACCTAGGTTAACATCTGTTCACCGCACTATTGCTATTGGTAAATGTGCAATGAAAGTTGCAGAGAGAAAAGAAAAACCATAATTTCTTCCTTGCAAAACTGCATGATAATTCAGGAGTTTAGGTATCTGGCTGCATAGCCAGAGGTTGGGACTTTGATTCCTCTCTGTACCTCCTTGACACAGGCTTGACTCAATGATCCACAAGGTCCTTTCCAGCTCTGCAGTTCCAAGATGATAATGATGATGATGAACTTCTACTTTTTGTATGGCAATATTGATAAATGAATTTGAAATCTGGAGTTATAGACTCCAGATTAGGTAAGATTAGGTAATCTTTCACATTCTCTTGGACCACAACTCCCATCATCCTGCACCAATGGCTGTGTCAGCTAGGATTTATGGGAACTGCAATCCATCAAGGTCAGGGGAACACATGTTATCTACCTTCCTTTTAGATGTTCACTGTTTCACAGTAGTAGTTGGGACAATTTTAAACAATAACAACTGAAGCTCAAGTCAGGTAGCATAATGATATGCTAAATGAGCAAAGTGTGTTTTTTATGAATGTGAACACAATAAACAAGGAATGTATATATTCCATAATATGAATATCTGAGGGACAGGCAAGCTGGGCAGGAGACATGAGAAAGCCCACAAATGTAAAATAACTGACATGCAGCCCGAACCATATACAACCCATTGTGTCTAAATACCTTGGATGTAAGCCAGTCTAGTATTTTAACTTTAGTACTTTGAGTTGTGGTTCAGGCTAGTAATTGCCTGCTGTTTAAATATATTATTTGTTATCCTGCCATACTTACTTTGAAGCAATAAAATAATTTGTCTGGTTACTCTCTGGCAGTTTGTTGTAGCAAATGATTTATTTTAAATAGATATGTACTACTGCTCTCTTATAATCTTATTATACCCCAGCTGAGAGATGAAACAAGTAGAGTTTTATTACCATCAAAGACTAGCACAGAGAACAACATTTTACATCACAATTGTCTCAAAGCAGTAGTGGGAAGTTGGTTGTGTTAATTACTTTAGAGAAATATTCATGCCCATATTTGTACCCTTACAGTGCAAAGATATTTTTTATCATTTTGCTTGCATTCAAATTTAGCGTGTGAGAATTCGCCTGTGTCCAGACACTGGAAGAAGTGGGAATAAAAACAGTGTAAGCCTCCTGAGATTTGAGTTCAGAGGGGTACTGATGAAATACAAGTGACCTGAAGGGTTATTAGCTGAGATAGCGGAAAGAAGATTGTTGCAGATTTCATGGAATACTGCATGTAAATAAATTTGGATTTGTTAACTTGATTTTGGTAAAGTTCCTCTTGGCTCAGCTCAGAATCAGCTTGGTGTGTATAAGCTTTCTTGCCAAGTCTTCAGAAAAAGTTCCTTTTTATTGAGAGCACTTTTCAAGCTTACTAATGTTGGCACAGGTATGTGGATGGTATTGCACATAGCCCATTATTGCATTGCTGAGAGGACCACCAGTCGTACTCCTAGTGGTAGCAGTGGCATCAGGTCTCCTCTCAATAATTCTGTGGGCTCCAGGTTGGGAGAATAACCAAGAACAGTCTTTATTGCAATTGAGGAACCAATAGAAACAGGAACACTGTGATTAAATCCCTAAGGAAGCTTCCTGGTAGATTAAGCACTAACACATATATCCTGGAAATCTCCTTTCAAGAGAGTTCCCTGTTAAGGCTACAAGGAACTCTGATCTTGCAAAGATAAGGGGGAGGAGGAGTCCAGGCCGTTCTTGAAAGCTCTTCAAGGACAGCTGGTAAAGCCAGATAGGGGAGAATGATGCCCACTCCTCTGCCCCTCCTGGAGCCTCCTCTGTCTCTCACACTGATGCTTTCATCACCAGTGCTGCAGCTGGGTGAGAGTGGGCATCACTTCTTCGGTTAGATGAGGTGAGCACCAAAGTCATGCTGGAGGTACACTAAGCTTCCAGAGTCCTGCCTTTGTGCCCCCTTGTCCTCAGCGAATTCCATTACTCAGTTGGCAGGGCTCATGAACTTCAACCAGGGCTCCTTTTCCCAGGCAGCCTCCACTTCAGCCAAAACACAGAATTGGGGGTCCCAAGTCTCAGCAGTCTCTCTCCATGTCCTCCAAGGTCTCCATCTCTCCCTCCATTTCCATGAACAAATCCCTTGAGCCCCTTCCCAGTCTTTCTTCTTTATCCTAGCCCACACCTCATCTTCTCCCCATTGCAGATGGCTGTCATCAGCCAGCCTGATTGAAGGTACCTGTTTATTTTGTTTGTTTGTTTTTGTTTGATATACTGCCCATCTGGCAGCCAAGGCTACTCTGGGCGGTTTAGAACAAATAACATAAAACAACAAAGTAATAAAATAGCAAATGACAACATCATTACATGGGGGTGAAAATCAAAAATCATAAATTGCAGTGAGGATAAAATTACAATACAATAAATACAATTGAAAACATATGTTAATTGCCTGCTAGGGACAATGGTTTGAGACAGCCTACCCAGGACACTGACCATAACACTCTCACAATTGCCCTTTAAAAAACCTCACCCTAGTTGGGTGACATGGTTTATGTTAATCCAGCATAGCATTATTTGAAAAATACTTGTGCATTTGTATATCTGTTAAGATTCGCAGTCATCCAGGTGAGGTTATTTGGAAGTTGAGTCATGGCAACTAGACTTCTTTCTTATTGGGTTTAAACGTTTCACTACTCATCCAAGTAGCTTATTCACTCTGAAGCATTGTAGACATGAAAGACTTCTTGGGGAAATGGCACTCAACTTATACTACAGCCAAGCATTATAAGTTGCATAAATTTATACATTGAAACAGTGAATTACAAATTTCAGTGCTGGCAATAACACTGGCAGTATCATTAGTCACTTCCTGTTCCTCTTTCCTCTTCAGCTGAGAGGTATAAGTTGCATAAATTTATACATTGAAACTGAATTACAAATTTCAGTGCAGGCAATAACACCGGCAGTATCATTAGTCACTTCCTCTTTCCTCTTCAACTGAGAGAAATGAAGACAGTCCCAATTCCAAGACATCCATGTTTGCAAATATTGATATTTTCCAAAAAAGAATGTTCAAATCATTGTAAGCTGTCTTATATGAAATCATGTCATTCGTCCATCCAGTTGCTTCTGTAAATGCTAGTCATAATACATTCTTCCAGGGCCTTTTCACTTTATCTCTGAGTGAAAATAAAGGAGCCATTCAGGAACACCATTGGCGTTGAGACAGCTCACTCACTAGTAG